GTATATGCTTGGTATTATGAATCTAAGATTAGATTATATTTAAAAATGTTATGTTGGGTGAGTTTTGCTTTAATTCCCAACAAATTGTCATGTTTCCCTTTAAGAGAACACTTTGTATTCTGTTGTCATAGCAACAAAATGTGCTAGTAGGCTGAAAAACTGACATTTCCCCCTGATGTTTATTATTTATGATGCAGAGACCATTTCCCCCATCACCTACATCAGCACGAAAGGGTCTCTCTATTTAAATGTAAATTGACCATAAAAAGATAAAAGGCTCCAATTTTACTGGCCATGAAAGGTGTCTGTCTTCCTAGCTTTTTTCTGTCTTTCTTTCTTCTGTGCTTCTGATTCAATACTTCCATGAAGAAGATGCTCTCTAAAAGTTGAAGGGACATTTACCATTCTAACAGAATCTGGAACCTTTCTTATGTACATAACATGCCAAAAGAGAGGGAATATTTTTCTTACCAACAAAGGGAATAACCTTGGCTAACACTTATGGACAGAAATTTACACATTTTAAGCATTTGCACAAGCATCACAAACAGCTGTCTCTTGTGGACTCTAAACAGGCTCAAAATGCAATGTCTTTTCAACAGTCTTCAGAACACAGGCACACACAACCAGCCTACTTCTAGTTGAGAAATTAGATATTCACACTTCAGGAGGAATTCATAGAAAGGTGGTTTTCTCTGCATTTACATCTCTGTGAGGCCAGAGAAAGTAGGCTTCCCGTTAAACTCATTCAATGCTTTCCTCAGACAACCTGTTCAGCACATGTTTCCTTCTTTCCAGAATATAGGATCCAAAGAACTAAGAGCATCAGCCCATTGTACAGCTGCAGTGTGACATCATGGAAGCAAATGCATTCAGTGAACTCTTTCTTTGTTCACTTTTTTTAGATGTTTAAAGTAAATGAAGAATAATCCTTTTACTTATTTATTTAATTCAGTATTTATGGAATCTAATGGTAGGACCAAGAATTTGATCTTAACTTAAATGTATATTTATTGAAAGACAAAATAGTTGTATGAGCTTAAAGAATGTCTCCTTGAAAGTTTTGGAAATTTTCCAAGGTCAACCCCAACTCCAAGCCATGAGAGTTTTGAAGTACTTTCATATGAATAGAATCATCCTACAAATAGTCAGAAGGCTGTGGGTAAGAAAGAGAAATGTCTCTTATTTCTCCTTATTATGGGAAAATGTTTTCTAAATTCATAGATGCACATTCCTGCCTTAATAGATGGAGACTAAAAAAAAAGATAGCTTGCTCTTTCCCCCTCCCCTCCCCCTCCTTCTCCTTTTCCTTCCTTCCTTCCTTCCTCCCTCCCTTCCTTCCTTCTTTCCTCTTTCTTTCTTTCTTTCCTTCTTTCCTTCTTTCCTTCTTTCCTTCTTTCCTTCTTTCCTTCTTTCCTTCTTTCTTTCTTTCTTTCTTTCTTTCTTTCTTTCTTTCTTTCTTTCTTTCTTTCTTTCTTTCTTTCTCTCTCTCTCTCTTCTTTCTTTTCTTTTTTTTCTTTCTTTCTTTCTTTCTTTCTTTCTTTCTTTCTTTCTTTCTTTCTCTCTCTCTCTCTTCTTTCTTTTCTTTTTTCCTTTCTTTTTCTTTGTTGCTGTTAATACTCAGATGGAACCTCAAATTTTATACTGGGAGCATCAGTGATTACAGTGGCAAAACAGGGTGACAATATAGTTAGGTGTTTAAGCAATAGAATCAGACACAGCTTGACTTGAGTCCCTGCTATGACACTCACTAACTATGTGATCCTAGGAAGATAAACTTAATCTCTCTGGGCTTTAGTTTCCTCTCCAGTAAAATATATCTTATATCAATATTTATTTCATATATCCTTGTGAATATGAAATAATAGAATTCATGTTAAGTGCTTAGATCAATATCTGTGATACAGTGTTTATTAAATATTAGCTTATTTTATTAATATAATAGCAGGAACTGAGCATGGATATCCCCTGGGAAGTTGCCATTTCAACCAAGTCCTTGATATGAGCTCATTTATGGATATTTGCCTCTGATTTCCTCAAAGAAAGGAGACAAAGACACCATTATAGGGCAAACAATAATCAAATTTGCCAGTGAATGACTTTCACCACATCCCAATAGCTTCATAGAATCAAAAGTAGGAGAACACTTAAGAGCTGCCTAGATAGAAACTCTTCCAGATACATACAATAATCTTGTACCTAAAAATCACCAATGAAGAATTCTATATTCAAGCAGCTCTTTTCTCTAATCTAATTGGAAACCCTCTGGCTAATATTTCAAATTAAAGAAACACTGATCTCCATGATTGTTTTAACAACTCTTAACAGCCAGAATTTAGTCACAGAATTATGGGAATCAGATATGGAAATGGTGTTAGAGATTTGCTAGTCTGAAGAATGCATTTTAAAGATGAAAAACAATTTTGATGTTATCATGAGAATGGATATGCTGAAGATCATGAAGTTAGTGAATGATGGACTCAGCCTGGAACACCCAGCTTCCTGGCTTCCAATCCATTCAGTGAAGTGCTGGCTCTATAGTAGGCATTACTAGTTGTCTTAGTTTGGGTTCTCCTGATGGAGAGCCTGAGATAAGAACATGGGTACAGATGGCTTATATGGAAAGTGATCCTTGAAGTACAAGCAGGGAGACAGAGAAGGGAGAGAAGCCAATAAAGTGTATGCTATTGAGTTGGTTACCTTGTGAACAACTGTGTCTCAAGCCCCCAGAGACCTTGTGAGAAACCATTTAGAAAGCACCTCAGAATTTTTCCTCTGAAGGACTGGATGATTGGGACATTTATCCCCTGACCTTCTATCCCCTATTTGTTAAGGGTGAGCCTCAAGCACTTTAACTCTGTCACCTTCCAAGGCTGCACTTTTGTGTAGGTTTAGCAGCCTCCTAACATTTTGGAGATAGTGCTGAGATACAAAAGCAGAGAGGCTCTATAGAGTTCTTGACATAGGATGAATTGTCCACTACAGCTGTGCTGAAATTAGGTGAGCTGTAGGAATGCCATATGGGACAATATGTCTGCTACACTACTGTTCCCCAATATGTGGTTATCTTCCATTTCTGAATAGAGGAGGGAAAAACACTGCATTTCTCAGCTTTTGTGCAATTTGGTGGAGCCCCATAAAAATAAAATATGAGGAATAATATCCTGTCTCTTCTGGTCTGAGGTAATTAACAAGTCATGTGCAATTGTCTAGTATCTCTCTTTCCCTACCATAGCACCCATGAAGGAGATCTTGAGATGGTAAGGCCAAAAGGCCAAATGACCCTGGATTGCAGAATTATCACATGGGAGACAACTACCTTTAAGAGTCATCTAGGACCTACAGTGGACTCTGTCTAAACAAGAAATAAACTTCTGTTGTGTTGAACCACTGATATTTGAGATCTTGCTTGTTACTGCAACATATTTAGCTTATCCTGACTACTATAGGCTCACCCATCTGCAAGTCCTATATCAGAAATATCTAAATTTGTAAGAATGTAGCATAGTGAAACATTTCATGTTACCTAAAGTATTCTCCATTATGATCATCAATATATTTGTCCAGAGGCTGGTCAAGATTAGGGCTGAAATCTGTGACCAGAGTAAAAAGTAAAGCTTATGTGGACACTGCATATATGTTCTAGACCTCATTATCATCATACTCCAACCACTGAGATAATCAACCTCAATCAAACTACAGATTAACTGATAAAATTGCTCTGCTGTGGTTGCAATATTTCCATTCAATGCTAGCACTTCCATACAGTAATAAAGAAAACTATTTCAACACTGGCTTACTTATCTATCCAAAAATTCTGCTCTTTTGACATCATGATAAACTCTGCCTTTTTGAAGCCAGTTTCCTCATGAGAACATTTAGCACATCTTTATTAAGCAAGATGCAAGCTGTTCAAAGACACTGTTAGTCACATTACATAGAGGCTATAGTTATTACCTCACTGATTTCCTTTATATCATTCTCCCTTTTTCTCCTATTAAAGGAAAAAATACTTCCAAGAATTGAAAGCCATGCTTTCAAGGCTTTCTGGAGGTGTACTCTCAGCAGAGAAGCCGAGCTCTCAAACTCCTGGTCTTGGGTTCATCTCCTTATAACACCTGTGCATTCACCCACGGACTTTGCCAACTCGACCATGATGGTTTCTATTCCTGCTGTGGCATATGACTCCAGCCAAACCCCTAAATTTACTTTTCCTTCAGAGGTCAAGTTTCGTTTACCTCTCTCAAACCTGTTTTTGACTTGCTGTTTCTACTAAGCAGTGACACCAGTGCAGCACTCTACTACTGAGACAGAGCTGGGACACTCACAGGGCATTTCCTCCCATCACGGCATCTGGAGGCCTCCTTGGTAGGATATTACAGCCTGTGCCAGCAGTTTGGGTGGTTGAGGCAGTTTTAGTGAAGAATTCCAGTGCACATTTGCAAGTGTCATGTAAAAGCATCCCAGAGTCCCAAACAGGAAGATGAATGGGTCAGAATGCATTTCTTTTCTCTCCCATTTACTCTCAAGAGCAAATTGGCCCATTTATTATAGTCCTTCACCTACATGAGCATGACCATTCCCAGTAGACAAGGTAAGTGCTCAGATTTCCTTCAAAATGATTCAGCACATTTGGACCTAATAGTGGCATTTAAGTCATGTTCTTTCTCATGCTGTAATTAAATTAGCTTTAATTAGTTTCTCTCCCACCCCAGCCCCATCCCTAATGCTTCATATAATTGCTCTGCTCTGAGTTTCCATTTATTCTAAAATCTGAGTCACCTCATAAAGGAACTACTAACATTGTTGTTAAAATAACACTGAAAGACACTATATAATGAATAAATGGCAGGGGTCAGGGAGAGAGAAAGGAGGAAGAATCATTAAGTCATTTTTGTTTAATTATAATGTTTTAATTTCTTATTTATTCACTGGATGTCTATGATGTGTGAGACATAATTCTAGGCAGAGTCAGTGATATGGAGTCATACGAAGAAGATACTCTCATAGTTCTCCAGGAAAAGACAGTCTAATATACACACATTGAAGTGACAGGAAAGGACTCCGAAACTTTCCAAGTTTCCATTCAAACTGGATCTTGAAGGAAACATAGTATTTCATCAAGTGTAGATGGGACGGTGGTGAAATACCTTAAGCAAAGAAATAATTATCATGAGCAAAAGTATCATGGTGGCAAAATGTAAGTCAATACCTCAGTTTGGACAGGACATGTGATCTGTGAAGGGAAGGAGAAGTTGATAAAAATACAGTGGCAGACTTGGAGCCAGATCACAGAGGGCCCTGAATGATAGACTGAGGAAGTTGTTTATTCCATAGGTTATGAGGTGCCACTGATGACGTTTGAACTGGAAAGTCATCTGACAAGACTGTGCCTTGGGAAGGTTCACCTGGCAGCAGTGTGCATAATGGATTAAACGTTAGAAGGAGTGTGTGTGTGTGTGTGTGTGTGTGGTGGGGAGAAATCACTGTAAAGTAGAGGCACATCACACAGAGACACACACATCTGTGCATGTGCACACACACACACACATACACACCTACCTATAACCTATACATATTTCATTATAGGCACTCAATAGAAAAAGGAAAATAACATTTTTAGAACATGGTGGTTTTTGTTGTCTACTGCTTCACTCAAGAAATGTATACCCCGGAGTGAGTATGAGATGGGAGTAGAAGCAAGCTCTTTCCTCACAGGGCCTCTCAGTTCTTGTGGGACTCTCATGTGAACATCTCACTAGGCTAGGTGTGATGTTATAATTAAAATATATGCCTTTTGTTTTAGTATAACATTGCTCCCTAAACTCAGGCCAACTACTTTATCTAGTGCTCAAAAGAGGAGTGAGCTATTCCAATCCTAGAGCAACCATAGGCTACACTGGATCATTTGCCACGTAATGTCAGTTTCCAAGTAATGCATTCCTAAGAGATTTAAAGTGTTTGTGTTCTGCTCTGCTCTTTTATAACCTAAACTCTATAAAATTTGTGATTCCAGTGTCTTGTTTACCTAAGTGATATTTAATGGGGCCCTGAGTGAGCCTCGTAGTAGTGGGACTAGAAAAGCAAAGATCAAAATGATTCCTATATCAGAAGTATAATCCATGGTAGTTGTTCAGCTGATTGATAACCCCTCAATTTGAGGCCTGGGTAATATATAGAAATATGGCATTTGAGATAAACAGCAGATTGGTTGGGTAAAGACAGTGGGATGAGTCTTGGGCTAATTGAGTTTGAAGAGCTAACAAGCCATCCAGATTTCTAAAAGAAGGTTGGGAGCATGGATCTGAACCTAGGTCCATGGTCACCAAACTTTGCCACACAATGGTATCATTTGGGGGAATCTTGTAAAAATAATGATGTTTGGTTATCATTATTTAACTAGTATTATGTACATACTTGGCACTGAGAGTTTTATAAGCTCTCTAGGTGATTCCAATGAGTGCCTATTTTGGGGAACTACTGACATAGGCAGAGAAATAGGAGTTAAAGATGAATTTATGATTGCTACACAGAAAGATGATGGAAGCTGTGAGAGTGTTGGCAATAGCTTAGCAGGTATAATAAGAAAATAATGGAAAGCAGAGCCTTGGAAGATTCCTGTCCCCTTATTGGCTATAAGAAAGTAATAAATGATGGGGAGCTGGGGTTAAGGATGCAGCCTCTGGGCACAGACAGAATAAAACTACCAAAGTAATATCCAGGACCCCATCTCACCAATATTAGTAATTAAAACAACTTCTGTGTACTACACACTCCACTTACTACTTTACTTCATTATTGTCATCACCATATTAAGCATCATCATTATCAATATTATCCAATATTCAATGAATGATTAATATGTGATAACTTACACACATTATTTCATTTAGTCTTCCCAACAATCCTATGAGGTCCCCACTTTATAAATAAAGAAAATGAGGCTTAGAGAGATTCTGTAACATGCCCAAAGTTTGCCCACTGGCAGAACCAGGTCTGGAATCCATAAATATCTGACTACAGAGCTTGAGATATGCATTCATTATGTCCCTGCCAGTGCAGGTAATTACCTTTAGTAATAACAGAAAATAAATTGGCAAATAAACTTCTCAAAGCCCTTCCACATCCCTTCTTTTACTTGATTCATTCAGAGAGGGTATTACAGGCCTAGTTTTACAGATGAGAAAACTGATGCACACAGAGGTTATATGACTTCTTTAAGGTCATCCAATTTTATTGGTGGGGGCTGAATTAGGTTGGTGCAAATTCATAGATTTTAGAAAATTTCTTCCTGAATGATTTCCATGACCCACTGCTGCTTCCTGACTAGATCAATGCCTGTCTTCTGTGCTCCCAAGACACTTTGTACGTTTCCTTATCAAAGTACTTACCATACTGCTTTGTAATTGTTTGCTTACCTGTCTCCATTATTATGGTAAGAGCTTAGTGAGGGCAAGAATCTTGCTTCTATTATTTATTCTTACATCTAAAGCCTTAAACTTGTATCTAGAAGGTCTCACTAAATATTGGTTGAAGTGAACTGAATTTATTAAATCCCATCTAGGTGATCTATAGGGAATAGACAGATGAAGCCAGCAGTCCCTGTCCTCTATTTAGACAATTTTTTAAATGATGGCATTACTTACTCTGTGCATTTTAATAGTCTTCAAAAGAGTTGCAGGAGGGAGGGATAGGGCTATTGTATATAGCCACAGGATTTTCTAGCTTCTGCCTCATGAAACCCAGAAGCTTCCTCTTTATTTTGAGGCCCCAGGCTAGTGTGACTAGAGACTACAAGTGTGTAAAACAAAGGGTCAGTAATGAAGCCGAAGTTAAGAGTTAGTTTCCCAAGTGGAAACCTGACTACATTCTCCATCAGTTACTATTTCTCAGAGCACAAAGGGAAAGGAACATCATGCCAAATCAAGCTTGCTGTGAATTGAACATAAAACAGAGTTTGGAAGGTTTCATATTTATGAGATTGCCTAAATTCCTGATGTGAACTAGTTTTCTAATAATTTGATTCATTCTCCTCAAAGCAGAGGGCACAGTCATGAGAAAGTGAGATAACAAAGGGCCCATGCAGTGTTGCCTCCAGTTTGTACTGTGTAGGGAATGCAAAATGTAGACAACATGGAACCTGCCCTTGAGGAGACTCCAGCTGAGAAAGAGAAACTGGGTTGACATGAAACCAACTAGCCATTTAAGGATGATATGGGAACGATTGCATAAAGGTGCCAACTGTAGACATAAGTGTAGTAGGGGTAAGTTAAGTACCAGAAAGAGCAGAGAAGGGACTAGAAGAAAACTATGTATGTGGGCAGAATCACACAGGGAAGAAAGTAGATGGGACTAGAGACATGACTTGGGGCTTACCAAAGCATGCAGAATCATCCATGTTGAATCCTACTACCATTTTCTTTTAAAACAACTTCCAGGAGAAGTGGGAAAGAGCTTTATTATGACCTCAATTGGGGAAATCAGTTTTAGTCTCCAGGAAAATTAGTAAAATTAATGAAATGTTAGGCCAGGGTGTTGGCACCAATGGGTTTGTGAAACAACAAGATTTCTGGAAGAGTTCAAGTTCTGTGACTTGCTGTGCTGGCTCAAAGGAATATCTCTGAATGTCTAATCCTATGTTTTGTTGCCAGAACACCCACCAGTCTGCAGTGGATTTGGTTTATGCTAAGCAAAAGAAGAAAATGAACTCTTGGAAATTCTGCAGAACCATTTTTAATACTGATATTTTACATGTTGTGATAGAAAAAAAAATAACAGGAATTTTGCCTCTGTTTTTCAGTTTTGGGAAAATAGGCCACTTCAGGAAATCAAAGAGCAGGAAGACAGTCACGAAGTAACAGAAAGATTTGGAACAGGATTTCAAGGGACCCAAAGTAGGAAATCAAGCATGACTTGATTTTTAAATCAAAAAGTCATAATGACATAATGACTCATCATCTCAAGGTTTTCCTAGGAAATTATAAATTGGGGTAATTTTCTGCATAATCTGAAGTACCCTGCAGAAGGTACCCTGTCCGAACACCTAAAGCAAATGTAACATGATAGGCAGGCAAAAATGCAAATTGCCAAGGGCATCTTTCACCACCCATAAAGGGACAATTTTGGAGTTCCTATTTTCTCTTTGCTAGAGAGCAAGAAACATACTCTTCTCCATTCTGTCTCAGCCACCCATCCCAGTCACATTTTTGACCTACCTCATTGTCATAAGAATCTGCATCCTCCTTGAAATCACTAATTCAGATGTCTCACTTCCCAACACACCTTCCTGTTCTTCCAGTTCACTTGCTCATCTTTGCTGAAACAGGTCTTTCATTAAGATCTCCATTGATCTCTATTTTCCGTCTCTCAGTTCCCTCATACTTCACTTTCTCCCCATTCATACTGTATCTGATGGTTATTACTATCAGCCTTTTGAAAATGCTGCTAATGCTCTTTTCTTTCCCTTCTTGTTTTATGCCACCAGTGAAATGTAACACTGGATGAGTCTCACCATTCCCATGATCAGTGACTACAACTGAAAAGTTGAAGGAGAAAATTCCAGAGCAGGAAAATCAGGTATTGCCTGTAAGTTTATGACAAATTGTCAACTTGGCATTAAACACTGCAAAAGCCTTATCACATTTCTCTAGGAAGCTTGCTCTTTTTCTGCAAGGACTAGTTTTTCTTTTTTCTTTTTTTCCAACTTAGCAAAGTCATCTTCCCCACTGCTAATCTTTCTCTCTTGAGGATGATTTTGCCTCATATTTCACAGAGAAAATAGCTGTCAGACAGGCGTTCCCCCATCTTGCACCTGTGTTCATCTTCTTCTCCTTCCCTTTAATTATCATGGGAAAGTAGCCTTCATGCTAACAAAAACTAAATCCTCTGCATGTGCTCTGCTTCCCATTTCTTCCTACCTCTCTACCGGACCTTCATAATCAGTGTTCAAAGATACTTTGTTAACTCCCACCTAAAATAAAATCCTTTCTTGATCCCACTTTTTTATTATTATTGATCTCTGTCTATACTCAATAAAGGCAAGCTTCCCCAAAGAGCTATCTACACACTAACTCCACTTCCTCATTTCCCATTCACTTCTCCATGGCTTCAATCCTCATCACTCCACTGAAATATCTCTTGCCTAAGTAGTCCCTACTGACTTCCATGTTGCTAAATCTAGTAGGTACTTTTCAGTTCTCACCTTACTTGACTTTTTGATATCGTTACTTACTGAGTTGACCATTCTCTACATTTGAAGCTCCCTAGTTTTCCTTCTAAGTTTGTGGCTCTTCCTTCTCAGTTTCTTTTTTCCTGTTGTCACAACCTATCTTCCTGTCTCCAAATGTGTGCAGAATATTTATATGCTTACATGGCATTTGATTTCTCACAGATGTCTCAAACTCAACATGTCTAGAATTGGACTCAATCTCCCAATCCCACTAAAAGAAATCTGCCCCTTTTCCAATGTTCCTGGTCTCTGTTAATAGTACCACCTGTTTCTCATTAACTTAAAAGAAAATACAAGGGCCTTAACTAGGCCCTGAATTACCAGCCACTAATAATCTCTCCATCCACATCTCTGGCCAGCACTCCTTCTACCAAGACCCAGTCCTACTAACTCTTTGGGTTCTTCAAACAGTGTATCTCAAGGCCTTGGTTCATACTGTGCCTTCTGTTTGGAATTTCTTTTATCCTAAGTAACTTCTACTTATTCTTTAGGACCCAGCATAAATGTTTCTTACTCAGAATAGAATTTTCTGATATCTTCAGGACTTGTTACTATAAATTTATTTTCATAACTGTTTATTTAACATCATGAGCCTGTTCAGTCCATGAGGGCAGGGACTACATTTTTGTTCAGCACTGTATGCACAGCACCTGGTACAGTGCTATTACATAGTAGGTAATTAAAAAATAGTTAAAAGGAATGAATGAGTGAATTAATTATAAAACATTTGTGGAATTCTCAGTGTTCATAAAAGGGTGTCCTTTCTTACCAAAATTGTTGAATATACCTCTAAAATTTTTAGCCAGCTCAATAAGACATAAAGATCCGAGGGCTTTAATAATTGGAAAAGAGGTCACAAAATTCTCAGTATTTGTTCACTGCCTATCTAGAAAAACAGTGAGATTCCACTGAAAATTTAACAGAACCCTTAAAATGATTTAATAAGGTAGCTAGTTTCAAACTAAATATACAAAGAAGTAAATACTTTTTCTATCAGAAATAACCTATTAGAAAATAGACTGCAGCAAAGAGTAAGCAAAACCATTTAACAAGTAGGTATAAATCACTTCAGGTTACAGATGCCAAAGCAAAGCTAACTGTCTGATGCTTGTCTCTGAAACCAGCTGAAAACAATGAGAAGAATGAAAAATAGAGAAAAAATGACATTATCAATAAAAGTAAAATATAAATGCAACCCCAAGTAAGAACTGTGAACAAGGTTGCCCAGTGCAGAGAAAATCTGACCTGGTTGAATGAGAAAATGAAGAGAATACAAGTCTCAGCAGCTTGGTAATAAGAAAGGCTCTCTAAAAGGGGGATGCACCTCCTTGCAGTGGAAACCAATAGTCTCTTAGTCAGTGTGTCCCTGAACTCTGTGAAACCTGTGAAATGGCAGTAAAGTAGAATAAGGGAAAGCACACAACAGGTAGGGTGCAGGAAAAATGGTCATTAGCAGTCAGCTCTGCAATACAATTAACTCAGAAAACCTGTAACACACAGGGGTCATTGCTAGCCAGACAGACTTCCAGGCATTCTCAGCTGGGTGTGCTACAGTCCTCTACCCGCTAGAACAGGGTTGTCAGCCTCAGCCCAGCTGCTGTTTTGAGCTGTGTGATTCCTAGTGGTGTGGGATGCCTTGTACACTGTACGATGTTTAACACAGCCTTGGCTTCCCAGTTTTGACAATCATATATGTGTCCAGATATTGGCGAATGTCCCTTAGAAAATAAAACCATTCAGGTTGAAAATACTGAATGCCAGAGGACATTTATAAATGTGTGGGTGTGTGTTTAAGAGTGTCATAATAACTGGGGGTGGGAAGTAACTGACATTTAGCAAGGGTGAATATATATATTTACCTTTCATCCCTTCTCTCTGCACCATCCAGAAGCAGTAGAATGATTCCTGTCCCAGTGCAAATTCCCAAGCCTGGTCAGGGCCTGAGCTGGAGGAATAGAATAAGTTTTAATTAAATATAAGATGCAAGATTTTGATTTAGATTAGATTGAGTTTTTGGATACTGTCTTGCCAATGGATTTCAGCCCCGGGCAAGTTCACTACGGGTTCAATGTGACCAAAGAAAAGACAGTAGAACGTTTCTTTGGGGTGAAAGGGTTTATTACCCAGCTTGTTTAACGGGCAGTAGGTGGAGCACTAATGTCTCTGCCTCCACCTAGAGCTCTGGGCCGAGCTCTCTATATAGCGCAATAATAGCTTATTGCCTAAAGGTGTTGAAGCGGTAGCCTGGCAGCAGGCCAGTTACATCATCAGGTGGTTTAAGTTCAGTGAAGATCCTGGCCATAGGAACCCCAACTTCCCCACAGATACATATGTTTTATTTATATATATGTATTATATATACATATGAAGGCAAACAAAATACTATGATATCTGCCCATATGTCACTCAAGGGCAAGAAAGAAAGAATCCAACAAAGTATGCTTGAAGTCAGTGGTGAAAGATAGATTAAACTGGTGATTATATTTATAAAGCCCAACCCATTTGATAATTTAGTTATAAAAGGAAGACCTGAGTATAAAGACTAAATTCTCTGCAGTAAGATCTGTAGTGGTAGGCAGCTTGGAGCTAGTATGACTAAGAGAAGCAATCAGAGACCCAGGCTTCTAGAGGAAAAGAAGATTGATGTAGGAATATATTAATAAGACAAATTTGTAAAATTACCTAACTTCAAAATCAAAGAAAGAATCCTATAAACAACCATGCAAAATAAATTTAAAAACTTATAAATGAAATAAGAACTTAAGCTGGTATCAAGCTTCCTGCTAAATTATAGTAGAACAATTCAGAAAAAATCCTCAGGGAAAGAGAATGTGACTCAAGAATGTTATGCCCATGCAAGCTATCTTTCAAACATAAAGGTAACTGAGAACTATTTTCAACATTCAATAACTCAGAGTAGGCATGAGCAATTCAGAAAAACTTGAAGTCAAAATCAAACCAAACTAGAAAAGGATGGGGAAAAAGTAAGATGAAAGGACTGATTGTGAGCATTAAACTTTAAAATATAGTACTAAAGTTAAATAATGATTGGAATTATAGAGCACACAAAGATATGTGCTTATATACATACAGAAAAATTAACAAACAAAATCCAGAAACTGTTAATAGTGGCAGGTGATGGCAGGAGGCAAGCACTGCTAGCTGCCTATCAATATCTATTCTCCATTTCTTTCTTAGTAGCAAAACTCCACTTTTGTTTGGATAAGTAATGCATCCAGCTGTCCAGACTGTCCTTCAGTTTTAGCAGGACATATGGCCAATTTGATATAAGTAAAAGTTGCTAGATGGTGCTCCAGGAAAGCTCTTTTAAAGGGGACAGACTTAGATGGCTATCATGTCCTTTTCTCCTTGATCCTGCCTGGAATAGGAACTTAAGGCTAGAGGTTTAATACCATAAGTTCACAAGCACAAAGTCTACATGCTACAGGCAGTAAGATAGAAAAATGAAAGAAGCCTGGGTCTCCGATGGCTTCTCTGAGTCATACTAGCTCCAGATTGCCTACCACTAGAGTTCTCACTGCAGAGAATTAACAAGCCCTTGTGTATGTAAGCTACTATGAATAAGATGTTCCATTACTTGTAGACAAATACATTCTAAAATAATACTGGGGTGTTGACAGATAGTAACTACACTAGTTGGGGTGAAGACTTAATAATGTATCTAACTATTCAATCACTATGTTGTATACTTGAAACCAATATAATGTATATCAGCTATAACTCAATAAAAAATTAAATAATATAAAACTGGGGAATAGAGATATGCTATATGAGGAAGATATACTTCTCATTGCATACATTTTTATACTATTAATGTGTTTTTTGATGTGAATATCTAAGTAATTTCTACTCTAGGAAGTAGTAACTGAAGACACTTAATAATGAACAATGCAAAATATATATAACACACATGTGTGCCCTTACTGAAGTACATAATAGACTATATTCACACATAAGATGACATAACAAGGGATTAATTATCCCATGACTAAATTTAAAACATATTTTTCTTTAAAATTTGAAGAGTTATGAAAATTCATCTGGTAAAAGAAACATATGAAAATAGTCAATAAAATTTTTCAAAGGAAGGATAAAGAAGAAGTTGCTAAATTAAATAGCATTAAAATGTATTATCCTAAAACTACAATAATTAGAACAATAAGATATGAGCACAAGAGTATATATACATATCTATATGACATTGTAAATGTCTCAGAAATAGATCTTAATCTACAGAAAAAAATGGAGCAAATAATAAAATGCCATTTCAAATCAATGAGGAAAGAAGGATTTCTTCAGTGGTGATACTAGAACAGTTGGTTGGCAATTTGAAAAATTAAAAAAGTGTTCCTTAGTTTGTACCATCCACCAAGAATAATTACGATGGACTCAAAATATTAATTACAAACTTCCACTTCTAGCAAAATGATGTGCTAGTTTCAAACACAAAAATATAATAAGAATTTTTTAAAATACATGGTTGTACTCTCAGAAAGAAAGAAAGGAACAAGTGACAGGCAAGGAAAAGTAGATGATAGGCTCACAAATTGACAATCCTAAATCCCTGAGAATAAAGAAAATTTAAGCAGTCCAATATAGTACTTGAAGGGAAAAGAGGTAATAAAGAAAGCATGGTAAATGGAAAGGATAAAATAATACAGCAGACATAAATTCAGATATACCAGTAATCACAACAAATATAAATTGACTAAACTGTCAGGTTGAAAGGCAAATATTCATAAAAAGGAATTTTTTAAAGCTGGCTATATGCTAGTTACAAGAAACCTGACTAAAACCTTTGTCAATGTAATGACTGAATGTCAAAGGATGGATAAAAATATATGACTCACAAAATGAAGTCAGCTACATGTATATCAGAAAAGTAAACTTTAAAGGAAGCAGCATTATTACAGATAAAAATGATTAGTTATAATAAAATAAGCAATTCTATCTAGAAGATAGAATAATGATTAAATTTCATGAACCTAAAAACATAGCCTCAAAAATATATTAAAAATATTGACAGAATTACAAGTAAAAATTTACAAATCCACAAGTATAATGGGAGGTTTTATTGTATTTCTCTCAGTAATGGAGAGATCAAGAAGAAAAATAATAAGGGTACAAAATAATTGAACTGCACAATGAACAAGAATTTGGTCTAACTGACATATATAATAACCCACACAAAGCAATCAGAAAATATAGTCTTTTCAAGTTTATGTGGATAATATACAGTGACAACGACTAGACTGCCCTTCATCTCTAAAAAAAAAAGCCCAGTTATCACACAGAATGGGTTCTAAGACCACAATGCAATACAAATGGAAAACATTAAAAAAAAGAAAGATCCAGCTGCCTTCTATGAATTGAATGTATGTATGATATGAATGCATCAAAGAAAACATCAAAATGGAAATTTGAAAAGAAATAAAATTGAAAAGCAATGAAAACACTATGAACTATACCTTGGGGGATGCAGCTTTGGCAATCAGTACATAACTAATAAATTTATACTGTGATAGGTAGACATTAGAAAAAGTTAAGTATTTAAAATCTCAAGAAGTTAGAAAAAGAAGAGTAAACATAAAAAATTAGAAAGATTAAAATAATAATAGAGAAAATTAGTGAAATAGAAGATAAAGAGAAAATACAGAAGATCAACAAACCAAAGGCTAATCTTTTGGAAAGACTGATACAATATGGAAACCACATAGTAAATCTGATTATTAAAAAAAAGGAAATACATATTTAAAATATAAGGAATAAAAAGCAGGAATATCATTAGAGATACATTGGAGACTAAAAATTAATATGGAAAAACCATAACCCCTTTATGCCAATAAATTTGAAAACATAAAAAATGAATTTTCTGAAAAATAATTACCAAAACTGACTTGAGAAATAATAGGAAAAACTTGAGTATATTTATATAATCAATAAAGAATCTGAATAAAAGTTTTTAAATCTACAGACAAAATCACCAGGCCAGATAATTTCACAGACAATTTCTACCAAAATATCACAGAACAAATATTTTTTCTTACACCCTCAGAGAAAAAACTCTATCATAAGTCAATCTCATTTATAATACATATGCAAAAACTCTAAATAAAATATTAGCACACCAAATCTTATACACATTAAAAAATACATGATGACAATATGTGACTTAACCAAGGAATGCAAAGATATTTTAATATTAGAAAATCCATTATTAAGGACATTATATTCAGTGAAATAAGCCAGGTGGAGAAAGACAAATGCCAAATGATTTCCCTCATTTGTGGAGTATAACAATGAAGTAAAACTGAAGGAACAATTGGCAGCAGACTCAGGGACTCCAAGTATGAACTAGTGGTTACTAAAGGGGAGGGTGGGTGGGGAGGGAGGGGGGGACTGAGGGGTATTATGTTTAGTGCACATGGTGTGGGGGATCACAGGGAGAACAGTGTATCACAGAGAAGGGACATAGTAGATTTCTGGCAACTTGCTGTACTGATGGACAGTGACTGCATTGGGGTATGGGTGGGGACTTGATAATATGGGAAATGTAGTAACCACATTGTTTTTTCATGTGAAACCTTCATAAGAGTGTATATCAATCATACCTTAATAAAAAATTTTAAAAAAAAGAAAATCCATTATTATAAGTCATCATTTTAACAGATTAAAAGGGAAAAAATTATATCATAATGTGGATACAGAATTTTTTAGAAATGCTAAAGCCCATTCAAGAGTGAAGCAATTTTTAGCAATCTACAAATACTCAGGCTTTTCCTTAACCTGATAAAAGCTATTAACCTGAACCAACAGCAGACATGTTACTGAGAAAATATTCAAAATATAGTAGCCATTTTAAAGCTAAGAAAATGACAAGAATGACACTATTGCTGCCTCTCTCAAGCATATGCTAGAGATCCT